TTTCAACAAAATAGATAAAACAAAGAAAATTTTCTTCCCCAGTTTGGTAGTTGGGCACATATGTGAGTGTTTATCGAATATTTTTAAGAATTTGAAAGCTAGATCCCATTATCCATGAGGGTCCTGACAACTCCTAGTTAAATGACAGTTTTCTTAAAAGCTGAATTATGTTTCTAAAGGTATGACTTCCGCTAAATCTGGTTAACTAAGAAGGTCTTAAAACTACATCCTATTATCCAGGAGGGTCCTGAAAGTCAAAAATCAAGTATTATCCTAAGAGTGACAATTTTTACGGCTGAATTATACTACCCTACAGCAGAACTTACGCTAAATCTTGTTATCTAATAGAAATCTTAAAGTTATGTCCCATTATTCATGAGGGTCCTGAAAACTCCTAATTGAATCATATCTTAAACATGCAAACTTTGAAACCAATTTATATCCCTTTGGGGTACACTTACACTAGATCTTGTTACTTACGATTGTTTTGAATTTTAAACTAGGTCCCATTTTCCAGGAGGGTCCTAAGAATTTATGGTCAAACCTGTCTGGTGCTTGCCTTTCCTTACGGGGGGTTCCTCCGAAACGATCGAATTTTTCTGCCCCTGTTTCAAATCAAAGAAAAATCTTGTCAGTTTAAAAATTTGGTGGTTGGTTTGTGGCCTTGACTTTGAGGGCGATTGCTCCTTTACTTCCCATGATAGCTTTGATTTCCACTCGGAGACCTTGCTTGTTTATTGACTAACCACTTTCTCTGTCACCCTTATCACAGAAAATACCTCTTCTCTGTTCAGACCCAATACCATCTACCTGTTGCATTGCTCATGAACTGATATTTACCCAACCTTTGTGTTTCACATGAATCCCAAAGCACGTCAATTGCCACCCACTCAGTGCATATGTTGTTCTTTCTTGACTTAAACCAACAGCCTTGGCCTTGAGGTCTATTGCTCTTTCACTTGCCATGATAACTTTGATTTCTGCTTTGAAGACCTTGCTTGTCCCTGGTTAACCACTTCCTTTGTCAATCTCATCACAAAAAATACCTTTGATCCGTTCACCTAACACCCCCCATCTGTTGCATTGTTCATGAATTGGTATATACCAAACCTTTGTATTTCACATGGATCCTAAAGCATGTCGACTGTTACCAACTCGATGCGCTTGTTGTTGTTTCCTAACTTATGATACTTTGATGTGCTAGCCAGATCCCGTTTTGTGCAATTGGAAAGCTAGTGGCAAATTTTGATGTCATTTCTCACTTGTTCTGACCAAACAGACTCAGGAAGAGGAAGTAAACAAGACAAAAGGAACAAAGTAAAGGACAATGGAAAGAGATGATTCCTAACAAGAAAACTACAAAGTAGAAACCTATCAGATATGGATACCAACTCTAATGACCATGACATGCACATGTTGATTAAGTGGCCTAATCTGTCAAACAAGTCTGATGTTCAACTCTTGTTGTACCTCTGAAGCGTGAAACTGGGCTTCAATGCTCCGATTATCCAATCTGATTCACGATCCTTATTCGACTTGTGGTGCCTGAAGGATTTTCACCATCAAGCCTCTCTCATTTTGTTCTTTTTCTCAACTCACCATTGCCTTATGGTGCCTGTGAAGGTTTTCACCGATAAGGCTCTCTCATTTTTGTTTTCTTTGTGCAGAACAGAGTGTTTCCCCTGATGTGAATCATACCTCTAACTCGCTTGACCTGGCACTACTCAAAGATTGATCGGAAGGTCTTTCTTTAGACCGTAATGCGGGTTTTTGGATGGGTTAGAAAGAAAGGATAAAGGCTCAAAAACAGCTTAGAAGGGCTCAAAATTACAACTTTTGGAATCAGATCTCTAACCACAACTTCTTCCCCAGTTTCTTTGCTTGGGGACTTTTGAATTTTTATTTGATGGGACCGAACCGTGAGGCTGCCTACGTATCCTTAAAAGGAATCAGGTCGAACGTAGTTCATGACATAGAAATTGCTTTGTTGTGGTGATTTTCTCTTTTCTCTTTCTTTTTTTTCACTTCTTTTCTTCTTATTTTTTCTCTTTTTTGTTGTTTTGTTGATTTTTTTCTTTTTTTTTTCTTTTTTTTTCTTCTTTTTTTTTCTTTTTTTTTCATTCTCTTTTTTCCTTTTCTCTCTTCCTTTACTTATCTTTTGCGCTTGCATTTCTGATCTTTGTTGCTGATTCCAAAAGAGGGGTACGAAAGGAAATAAATAAGGCTCAAAGGGGTAACGAAGGATAAAGTGTTTAGATAGCAGAACAAAATGCCTTTGTCATTCCAATCTTTAAAACATGCCAAGTACAAACAAACACAATTTAACCAAAGGAATCATATATAATATCTTTTGACTGCATCAGAGTTGATAGCCATATCCACACATTTGCCTTCTACATTTGTTAAATACAAAGCAACATTAGACAACACTCTCGTTACCACGAACGACCCCTGCTAATTTGGGGAAAACTTGCCTTTAGCTTCAATTCGATGCGGCATGAAGAATTTCAATAAGGTTTCTTTACGTTCTATCTGCCCCAGTTTCCCCAATTCGGGCTTGAAGTAATCTCA